AGCATGACTGGCATTCAGGGAATGAGCATCCATCTTGTCCCCATTGCTCTGTGTAGGAACATGCAATTTTCAGAGAGGAGATACTAATAACATCTGAATGACTAATGCTGTTGAAGGGAGGGTTTGGAAAAGTTCAAGGCTTAATCAGGTTTTTGGGACTCAACAAACAGAGCACACAAGGAGCAGCATTGTGCTGTGAGGGTAAAGGATGAGCTTCTGCAAGAGGCTTGAGCTGTTCATGTGGTACAGTCATGGTCAAAGTGGAGATGGCACTTCCCACGTAGCAGTTCACAGTTGGAGTGCATTGCCAGACTCATCTGCTCAGGGTGACATTGTTCTCCTCTCTTGCTGCGGGCAGCCTGGCAAAGCCCATCGCAGCTTTGGGAGCTGGAACGTGTCTGTGCCCAGCTCCCAGGGTGAGTGATCCTGGCTAGAGCTGGCCACGGCAAACCATGGCTTGGCGTGCTTCTCTGCTCACAGGGTGGGTGTGCTGAGAAGCAGGTTTTTGTTTTACCTTCTAAGCGAAAATAGATTTGACAGAACAAATTTACTGGGAGGCCATGCCAGCAAACCATTTATTATAACCGAGGCCTGTTTTGAATAACGGTGCTGGCTCTGCTGGGCTTGCTGCCTGCCTTGAGGAAGTGCTGAGGGAGAAGGACAGAGAATCCTTTTTTAGGCTGCAAATGGTTTCAAGGGTTTTAGGTTGGAAATAGAGGTGGGTTACTGGCAATAACCAAGGCAAGAGCTGCAGGGGCAGTTAATTAGGCAGCCACATTTGGGTGCAGCTATGGACATGCAGATCCTTAAGTCCAAGTCAAGCTATGAACTTCAAACTTACATGTGATCAGCATCTGGGGAAAAGGGGACAGGCATGCACATGCCCTTTCCTTTACTGGTTGTGGTCAACTTTGTAAGTTAAAAGTGCAGGGCAAGCTTTGAAGGGCATTTCAGCAGATTAAAGAAAAACTTGGAAGAGAATCGGTACCATGTGAACAGCTAGCTCCAGTCCTAAGGGTCTGGCTGCCAGTTCCCAAAATAAGCTCTGAGAATGAGTGTGAGAGCTTTCCTCTCCCTCCTCCTGTTCCCAGCAGAACAAGCTCAGGGGGAAAGAGCAGGATTAGAAAGTGGGATTTGCTTGCTCATGACAGCAGCCGTCTGCCTGCTCTGTTTCCTGGTATGGCAGAAGGCAAGGCTGTTGCTTTGGCATGTTGGGTTAGGAAAAGGAAGTGAAGGAAGTGCTGTGGTGCAACCAGATGCTTCTGTTCATGGGCTCAGGGAAGATTTGGTCCAAAAAAACTTGATGTGGCTTTCCCATGGAGGAAACCAAGCTGGCCTGTATTGCACTGTGATGCCATTAAAACTCCAGTAGGGAAAAATGCCTCCCTGTTTATTCTTTTATAACATCTTTGTGAGCCAGGGCCATCCCATTACTATTTGTACAAGGCTGTGACAGTGATGAACTGTATGAGGCAGGCTGTGCAGAGACCTGCTCTGAGGGGAAGGTAAAGTGGTGTGTTAGTTACTACTCCTTGGGATGTGCTTTAGGAGGTGCAGGCTGATCTTCCATATCAAGCTGAGTTGACATTGTATCTCTCCCGTCTGCTCAGAAGGTTTTATTCTAACACGTTCTTGGCACAGCATAGCAGAACTACCAATATTTCTATTAATTTTCTTAAGCTTGTTTCTGTAACAGGAGGCAACAATCTGCTCTCTAGAGCTCCTTCCATCCCCTTTCTCCATGGATCTAAACTTAAAAATTATCCAGGAGTTTCAAAAGAAGTTTGCTGGTGGAAAGTTTGATCTCCTTCCAGTTTCAAAAAAGCTCTTCTTGAGAAGCTGAAAATGCTTCAGGTTGAGTTGCTTTCTGCTGTGCTGCTTCTCTGGTCTGAGTGCCAATCAGGCACAGCATCTCCAAAGCTGTTCAAGGTGCTGGCTCTGGCCATGGGTGACTGCTCTTTCCCTTGCTGGGGGCAGCAAAGATGGTATTTCTTGTTTCCTGATTTTGTGACCTTTTCCAATCGAACGTGCAAATAAACATGTCTTCCCAGTCTGAAAGCACACCAGGGGTCAGTACTTCTTGCTCTGCTGACCACAGTGCTCGTGGTGCTGCAGTGAGGGGGCACAGCAGGCTTTCAGTGGGGATCCAAGACTCACCAGCCACACAAGTGCCTCAGGGCTGGGTTTTGGCACAGACCAGCCTCAGCATGGGATGTACATAAGCACAGCATGGGAGAGGATGTGGTGTTAAAAGTGCACGGAGTGAGCCCTGGAAGCTTTTGATGTGACAAAGACAAGGGCTGCCCTGTGCAGCCCACAGGGAGAATGGCTCACTGCTGTCATTTCAGCATGAGGCTGACCCTGCAGTCCAGCCAGAGGGAAAAGCTGATTTTTTTATTTTTCTCTGTATGGGGAACCTGAGTTGTTTATTTGCTAAAAAAAAATCTGCTCCAGGGTTCACTGTGTCAGCCTGCAGAGAACTTTGCTTGTGTTACCATTGCATTTTTTTTTTTTTTAAATGTAAGTGAAGACAAGATGCTGACACAAAGGCTGCTGACTTTGGGGGGTCTGGAAAGCCCAGTTTTTCCTGGGGCTCTGTCTCATGCCAGAGTTTACTGTGCTCTGGCAGAGTTTTGCTTGGCTTTAGTCATGAACCTTCCTAAGGTACCGCTTGTCCTTTGCCCCTGAGCTGCCATTCCTTCCCCTCTGCCATTCTTGTCTCTGTTTTCCTAGAAGACAAGTGTTTCCATGCTTGACATCTTGCCCTCCCATCAGCTCCCCCCCAGGCCAAGTAGCTTTCTTTGCCAAGTTTCCTTTGGATAGCACATATCATGCGATCTATCCAAACTCTTAATTGATCTCTTAGGAATTGTTTTTCATCTAAATTCCTGGAATGTTTCCATCCACTAAAGATTTCCTCCAGAGAGAAGGGAAATGAATCCCGTGTCACTCCCTTCCGAGCAGGGGTGGCCTTGGGAAGGCTGGTTGTTTAGCTTGTGCCTGTTGGGAGATGTGGGTTCTGCAGTGTTTGCTCGTGGTTGTGGCAGTTCTGCTAAATAAAGCAGCTGTTTGGAGAGCAGCAGGAAGGTGAGTAGCAGCTCCACATCAGCAGCTTCCCCATCACAGGGAGAGAGAGAGAGTATCCCAGATGGATGAGCTGGGAGAGCATGACCCTGTGTCTGTGTGTGCAAAGGAGACTTGTGCTCCTATGTGGAGAGAGGAGCCAGTGCCTGATCAACACCCACCCCCACAAGGTGTTGGCAGGCGGTCAGGCTGCAGCATCTGGGTGGCACTGGTGGTCTCTGGTGGTGTGGTGGCACCTGCACAACCCTTCAGCTCCATCTCCCTTTTCCTGTGATGAAATTCTGCCTGAAGCCGGGCAGGGCAGTGGCAGGTGGAGAGGTGTGAGTCCCTGCTCACCCCCAGCAGCAGCTCTGCAGTGGGTTGCAGCCCCACTTCTCCCTCCTCTGTTGCTTAACCAGCATCAGATGGAAGTGAAGCAGTGTGGGTTATGTGCTGAGCAGATCTGAATTAAAATCCTCCACCACTCACTGGAGCTGCAGCCTTTGCCTGCTCTCAGTGCCTGAGCCTGGCCTGGGTGGTGCCAGAAGTCTGACAGAGGCAAGGTCCCTGCTGCACTGTGACTGAGTATGGCACCTCTTCTCTTATGTCCCAGTGGTGATGCAGGCTGTCTGTCCGTGCCAGGGTGACTGGAAAGGACTCCTGAGGAGCTCTCCCCTCACCCTGACACTGCTCTGGCTCCTGCTTTACCATCCATTGGCTGATCCCCACCTGGTAGCTGCCCCCAGAGCCAGCCTTGGATAACAGCAGACTGAGCACAGGCTGAGGGAAGAGGAAAAGGCAAAAGCCTCAGGGTTCCTGCAGACTCACAGGATCAGAGTAGAAACACAGGCTAAAAACAGGAAGGCCACCTATGGCTGTGACAGCTCGCCAGCCATCAGGTGGTGACACTGGGAGAAGTGCACTTCCAAAAGAGCTCCTTTGTGCTGTTGCAGCTCCCAGCCTTGTGAAGGACTGTCCCCCCCTCCTGTGCTCAGTCCCTGTCCCAGCACCATGCTGTGCACCCTCCAGTGACCCTCAAAACTGTGATGAGCTTAATAAACCACCAAAATATCAGAAGAGAGAGCTGTGGACTTGCCAGAATTAAAGCAAATGTTGTTACTAATGATGTTCCTTACTAGCATGGTGTGCCTGCTGGCTTGGTGAAAAGCCCCAGCTCTGTTGTCTGTGTTGATGGGCATCAAAGCCCTTGGCCAGAGCTTCTGATCTGGTGACCTGGGCTTGATCAGGCACAGGACTGCAGAAGAAAAATACTATTCTCTTGATTTAGTGACTTGAGGCATAAGGAGGATGAAATGAGCTGATAAAGGTTGCAGGCTGGGCCTGGTGCTGCTAACGGCTCTGGCCAGAGGGCTGGCATGAGACAGGACAGCAGACTGTCCTGACTGTCCCCTGCTGCAGCAGTCAGCACGGGGTTTGGAGTGTGAGTGCCTGGGGAGCCCTTACCAACAAGTGACTTGTCCTAAAATGTGCATGGAGAGGAGAGCAGGAGAGGACCTTGAGGCTGCTCTTTGCCCAGCCCCACTCTCTGGGCAGGGGGGACAGTTCTGCAGTGTGGGGCACTCTGACAGCACCAACCCTCGCTCTGGATGGACCAGGAGCTCTTACAGCACCTGGGCACTGCCTGGGAGCTGAGAGCATCAAAGCCACTCCCCAGCCTGATCTGCAGTCACAGCTGGGGTCAAAATTTAATCAGCAGTTACTCCTGGCCACAGTGCAGATGCTTCCTGTTGAAATTGGGTTTAGTTCAGGACCAACATCCCATTTTAATGGGCTTCTAAAAGCATGGGAACCAGGTGTTGAACCAGGCTGAGTTTGCCTTTTACTGCGTATCCTCCAAAAGCTCCACATTATTGTTTAGTCTGGGGTGTGGGAAGCACTTTGTAATGGTCACCAGTGACGCCCTCAGACACACTCTATTCAGAAAACATAACTTTATTATTAGTTGCAATATACATTGTATTCCTTTAAGAATCCTAAACTTTTATATGGTTTTTCCACTGAAAATACATGTGTATGTATATATGTTTTTATATATGTATATATATATAATGTATTTTATTGAACTGGAACACAACAGAACAAGAGAGACAACCTCAGGAATTACTTGTAAAAGGAAATGTGATCCCAACAGGTTTGTGCTGGCAGTGTGCTAAGGTGAGTGGTATAAAAAGGACAGGCTAAATAGAAAACATGATGGGTTAGGCAGTGGGAAATGGCCTCTCAGTGCTACAGGTGGTGATATATACAGTAGTTACACGTTGCTATTGCTCAGTCATGAGTGCCACCTGCTCTCCAAGGCAGACCAGACTCTGGTGCAGCTCTGCACAGCAACATTCGTAAGGCTGGCTGTGCTCCCTGCAAGTGGTACCTGCCAGCTGGAAATAGAGTGTAATTACATTTCCCTCAGCAGCTGCTCTGCTCATTGCTAATCTGGTCAGCCAAGGAAGAATTCCTCCGGGGCTTGGTGAAACCTAAGTAGGTCAGTATAAAGGAGCTTACAGGCAGGGCAAGGGATCAGCAGCAGTGAGAGAGCTGAAATGTGCGGATCGGTGCCTCACCTGGCCCGGGCTGATTTGTTCCTGGCTCCTTCCCTTGCACTCATTTCCCACCTGCCAAGGAGCTGTGGCCCCTCTGCTCAGCAGCCAGCCCAGGGGTCTGTGGGGTCAGCGCAGGCAGTGCCCAGCTTCTTCTGGATTGCTTTCCCTGTGTTAATTGCCTCAGAAGGAAACTCTTCAGAAAACTGGCTGAGGGTGGCAATACCTGTTGCTGTGCCATGGCTTTGGGGTCATTTGGCTTTTTTTTTTTTTTTTTTTTTTTGTTGCTGTTCTTTGTTTTGTTTGTAAACCTTTTTCCAAACAGCCTCCCCAGGCCATGTACCACTGCTGAGTTCAGCTATAGACTGACAGAGAAGTCTTCCCCAGATCCATGTAATTGGTTTCCCTTTATTTCTGTTTAGCTGCAGATGTTTCTTGGGTGAAAGGACACATTTTAGCAAAGGCACTGACAACGGACGTTCCTCTGCCTGAAGCCAGGTTGGAGGGAGCAGACGGGCTCTGACCTTTCTGCTGAAGGGTCACTTCCCTCTCCACTCCTGCAAAGTGCTTGTCACTTTAGAAGGGATGTAAAAATTGTGGGCATTGATTTACTCCTCCTGACTTCCTCAAGAAAAGTGCTTTCAAAAATCCTATCCTTAAATCATCATCTTGCTACTACCCCCGCAATGTCTGTCACCTCTGGATCACACCCACTTGTTTCCCCTTCCAGCTGAAGAAGCAGGTGAGATTTATCACTGCTGGAGTATTTCTCTTCTTGCTATCTTTCTCTAGCAGCATCTGGCCAGGAGGGAGCTTGCTCAGGCAACACAAGTTGCCTCAAGACAGGCTGCTGGAGGAGGGAAAGCAGGTGACCTGCTCATTGCTCTTTCCCAGAGTAAGTGTCACCAGAGGTTTCGGAGGGGCTGCTGAGAACAGCCGATTGCACTGGAATAATATTTCAATTAAAAGCTAACATTGCTGGGAGAACTATAGCTCCTTCCTCTCTTTAGAGGCAAGAAAATACAAATGCCAAAGTGCCTGGATCGACCTGTATAAAAGAGCTTCCCTGACTTGGGCCCCTTAGGGCAACTACAAGGATACAACCTGCATCCACCACACATCTTTCATCCATCCATGCTGCTGGGACTGAATGGGACTGAGCCCTGATTCTGTTATGGCACAGAGGTCCCTTTCCTGAACCTTGCTAGAACTGCTTCCAAAGGGAGAAGAGGTGGGTGACCCCCCTGAGTGTCCAAGGAGGGATCCAGCCCTGGGACAGCAGCTCAAGGCACAGCAGTGCTTCTTGCTGCTGCCAGGGAAGGCAGGGGGGGCTGGTTTGTCACTGGAGGAGATGTCCCACTCTCTCATAGTGCAACATTTGCATTCTCTTCTTGCAAAACCAGAGGGAGAGGTGCAGGTTGGACCCCTTCCCTTTGGAGAGTGCCAAGAAGTATATTCATGCTGAGGGCCATCTCACTAGATAAATCGGCCTGCACAGCCACTCTGTCATCACTGTGCAGTTTTACTGTGTCAGTACAATGTCTCTGCTCTCATCCAGGGTCTAAACTCTTTCCTCTCTCCCTGCTGCTAGCAGAGACTCAGGCAGCTCAAGAATTTGGCTTACCTGCACCACAGGCTCCTCCACAGCAGCTCGTACAGCAGGGTCTGTGGATGCCCCAGCAGAGCAAGGTTGGATGGATGGGGGATCCCACTCCTCACTCTGCCTTCAGCTCCCCACGTGTCCTGAAGGGCTGAGCTCAGCCCCTCAGTGCCCTACCCCAGTGCTGACTGGAGGAGCCTGGGATGGGCTTGGACAGGAGCTCTGCTCATGCTGTGGGTCTCCTGCTAAACCAGTGGACCATGAGGACACCCACTGCTACTCCCCACCCACCAGATGCTCTGCACTTCTCTCTAGCATTATTTTCAGGACGTTTTCCAACTGATGAAGGAAAACAACAGATTATGACTGTAAAGTTATGGTGAAAGGACCAGATCCTGGTAGGACAACATTGTTTCTTGCCAAGAGAAGGAATGATTAACTCTTTCTTTACTCTCCTCCCATTTCTTTCCCAGCTTCCAGCCACCTCTATATCATATATTATATTACTATATTCTCTTATAACTTTGACTTTGCTTTTTCAGTTTCAGTAGCACAAATGATTAATTCCAAAAGAAAAAAAAAAAAAAAGGAGAGTTAAAAAGAAAAAAGGAAGGAAGGAACCTTGTGCCTAGGGATATTTACAGAATAGTTAATCTTGCAGAGAAGATGGGGTTTGACATGGGGAAAAGCAGGGGAATTGAATGTGCTAAGTGGGTTTGATTCCACATTCCTGCTCTTCCCTCTGGGATCCTGCTTAGATGATGAAAATCAAAGCACTGTTCAACATGCTTTCCCCGAGTGCAAACTCGCAGAGGATGTGCAGGGCAGTGGGGGAGGCATCTCCATCCCCTGGCCTGGTCTGCTTAAAAGGTAGTATCCAAAGGGGTCTGGTCTTGAAAATCAGCCTTTCACCTCCAGGGAGCTGCCAACTCCATCTCTAGCCTCTCCTCATCACTCAGCACCTTCGTTAGTGCTCTCCTCTCCAGGAGCAGGGTTTTTAAGGTGCTGGATGGTGGGGACAAGGGACGCACCTGGCATCAAAACCATGAAGTGGAAGATACTGATTTCTTTTACATACCAATAATTATTGCAGTATAAACACACCCCAGTCACCACAGCAAAAGCAGAGAAGGGGAAGCCGTGGAGAAAATTTGGTGGGTGAGGGGCATCCCACAGGCATCAACTCTTCTCCAGATTAGGGCAGTGGCCATTTACATCAGCAAATAATGCCCCACCCTGTGCATCTCCCCCCACCCTCCCTTAAACTGTGTGTGATAAAATATTCCAATAATCCCTCCACGTTAGATCTTTTCCCAAGAGATTTCTAGTAAGAAAAACATATATTCCTAGAAAACCCCAGTAAGAGCTGCAAATGCAATTGCTCTTAAGTATGGCTGGTTTCCCCAGCTGCTGAGACCTTCTGGCCAATCCATGTCAGTATTTCTGTGAAGACAGAGGTAGAGACCTCAGGCAGCTCTTTGTGGAGGGCATGATAGGCTTCTTCATACACCTGCAACCACGGAGAATTAGGGATTAGCACAGAAAAAATAAATCTGCATGAACAAAACAGCCTTCAGTCCCCTCTCATCAACACCCACAGGTCCAACACCTCCTGCCCACAACTTGTCAGTTTTTTCCCAAGATGTAGCAGGTTATGAAATCAAGGAGATGCCACTGGTGGTGCTGGCCTTCAACAAACAAGAAGGGGTTGGCATTACTGCCTGACATCTGTAGGTACCAGAGCACCCTGCTGCCCTTTAGGAACATAATGCATGTCCAACCCCATTCCACTAAGGAGGAGGAAATACTTATCATGCCCTTGGAATGTAAAGGACAATGGGGGATGTTCCCATCATGCCTTGTGCAATTTTACTCCTTTTATGTTTAGACTATCCATTTATTTTTCTGATGACAAAAGCTTTCCCTTGGTCTCCCTCCCTTTTCTTTCAGGTTTATTCATGTGCTAACAATTGGTTAATCAGCTGTGGTTCTCTTGAAATGAGCAGATGTGAAATGGCTTTTGTTGTCCAGCATTTTGGAGAGACCTTCCTGCACCTTTACACGCTGGGACATGAGGTAAGGCTGGTGCTCACACAGTTGGCATTGTTCAGAAGAGCTTTTTGGGTCAATGCCTTACCTGCTTATGAGACTTGCTCTACTTCTACACCAAGTAGAATGTCCAAGACACCCTCCAGGCATGCAGCCAGCACTGGGGCAGATCACCTGCAGATCACCCACCATCCCCTGCCCCCAGCCTGGCTGTAGCTGGTGAAAGCCCACCACACTGAGCCCAGGGAGGGCTGAGCTTGGGCCACCTCCCTGTGAAAGGGGCTGTCACCTGCCCAGCCTCACCCATCCACCAGCTCTCTCTCCTTGCCTCCAGCTCTCTGCAGGCTCCCACCCCTCACAGTCACTCGTGCTCAGGCCAACCCTGACAGCACAATCTCCTAACAATCAAGAAAGCAAGATGACCTTGAGCGTTTTGTCCTGACTCTGCACTGTGTCCATCAGGAAATAGGAGCCCCTGATATCGCAGAGCTTGTCGGAAGAGCCGTGTAGCACCAGGATGGGCAGAGTCAGCTTGGGCAGGGCTCGCTCGATTCTGGCAATGGCATTCATCAGCTGGATGACGAAGGAGACCTTCATGCCACCGTGGTAGACCAAGGGATCAGATGTGTAAGACTCCATCTGGCAGGGAGAAAGAGGTAATTTAAGATTAGCAATATTTCATGCATATGCGAAAAAGCCGATCAGCCGGGCAGTGAGGAGTCTTCCCTTGGCTTGCACAGTCATTCCCGACTCTCTCAGGACATCCAGCCATCAAGTCAAGGTCAAGGTACTGTGGCTTACCAGCACTGCTCACACAACCTGACATGCTCTTTGCTGCATGTTTCTCTCTTACACCACTAGAAAATATTCAAGCCAGAGCTCTTTGACAGGAGCTCCTGCGGGGAAACAACCAGTGTTGGACAAAGACTATTCCCACAGGGGCACCTGCCTGCATTTTTCTCCTCTGCTGTGCCCTTCTGTCATTCCAATGGGATATCTCTTCTACAGAGGGTTCTTCAGAATGTGTTGTTTGAAAGCTGATGTTCTCCAGGCCAATATTCTCTCTGCTGAGGGCTCAAATGTTCTCTTTCCTTGTCCGGGGGTGGTGATCATGACCTACACCTCCAGATAACTGATAGAGGTGACTGCAAAGCCAAGGGCTCATCTCTGGCTGCAAACCATGACAGACAAGGCAGCAAATGATGGTATTAGGTGGTAGGCAAAAAAAAAGTTGTCAAAGACTTGCTCAGCCAGATTGTGAGGGATAAAAATGCTCAAGAGCTGGTAGAGAAAGTTGCTAGGAAGGAGTAGTTACTGCAGCAGGCAAATCTACAGTAAATATTTGTATACTGTATGTGGAGACGGCCCACACAGACCCCACTATCGCAATATTTGCCAGAATGCTTTGATTATGGGCTGGTCTCTGGCACAGCCTCCAGTTTCTCCCTACCCTGGCAGATGTTTATAGAAATGATGGTTATTTATAGGTTAGCTGAAAACCTACTCCTCCTCTTCACACAGGCAGTGGGGTCTGTTCAAATTCTACCTTGAAGGCATTAACTTGAGGTCGTTTTGCTTCTGCCTGTGCCTGCCCTGAGGGAACCATGGGTAGGAGGTGGCCCAACAGGCCACCCAAGGACATGTAGCCATGTGTAGGTGTAGCACAGGCAGGCACTGTAGGACAGAAAGGTTTTGAGGTGGAGTCTGTCTTCAGTTCCCTGTGAGATGAAATTCTCAGGGTGGCAGAACATGGTGGGGTTTTCCCTCCTGGATGCATTCACTTGCCAGAGGGTTTGAAGCCAGTTTCTCCTGTTGCCATCTCAAATGTGCTGGAGCACAAAGCACTGGTAATGGAGGTGGCAGTGAGGCAACCTGATGCACACAATTCTTTCCCCATTACTTTCCTACTTCCAGTCCCTACAATCTCCCACTGCTTGAATTCATGGTTCCTATTTCTACATGCAGCAAGAGAAGGATTGGGGGGAAATGTGGGACTATTAGTGGCTGACACCATTCAGACCCAGCCCACGGTACTGAGGATGTCCAGGGAGGACAGCTGTACAGCCACTCCACTTTGAGTTGGAGTTTGACTGAAAAAATTCTAGTTGTCATAGAACTCACTTAGGGATCCTTGGAAGTGGTGGATGTTTCTAGGATTTGATTAAGGCTATTGTTGTATTTTGGTCTCTGTGCATGATTATGCCTGCTCTGAAGTGAGGGGTAATTTTTGGCAGGGAGACAAAGATAATCATCAGAGCTCATCATATTAGGATATTACACATGGTATCTCCCTTTCAAAGAATTATGTGCTTGCTGAGGGTCTGGAAAACTGCTTGTAAGAGGCAACTGCAAAGATGAGACTGTGGTTAAGACATTGAGGCATGGTAAACATCCTCTGCTCCTGCTAACAGCCCTGGGAAGCAGAGACTGAACAGCTCACAGTCCTTTTGGCTCCACATGGACCATCCCAGTGCCCAGCCAGCTTGTTGGTGCAGAAAGCTCTGAGATAGGGGGCAAGAACAGAAGGTGATCCCAGGAGAGCCTGTGACTGCTTCCAGACACTGTCAGGCAAAGGCTCTCCAGGGTCTCTCACAACAGCTGTTTTTATCTTTATGTAATTCCAAGACAGAAGCAACCATCAGGTTGCTGCATCACATTGACCTGTTTAGAGGTCTGCATCTCCTCTTGCAGCCTCATCCGATGTGGACATGGCAGGAACAAGGCTTAAGTCAGGGGGACCATTCCACTAACACAACAGCAGCTAACAAAGATTACTGGGGCAAAGGAGTTCCTGTCACTGTGATGTCACTCCTTCTTGGAATAATAGGGACTGGTTTTTAAGGTTGCTTCTTGCTCTCTTTTTCCCCTCTGGTACAGCAAACATCAAACAAACATCTCTATATCATTCTGTATTTCAGTCCCCACAGCCTGAAGACAGCTTTCTGGGAACATAAAGTCACTAGGAAATTCTTGGATGTTGTCCCAAAAATATTTCTAGTGAATAGAAAGCTGGTCTGGCAGGAGAGTACGTGTAACATATAAATAATGGATGTTTCCAGCACATTGTGTGCTTTAAATTTGAGTGTCTTGAATCCAGAAGGAGGGTGGAGTGTGCTTAGAGGCAGAAAGAGGACCAAAATGCTGTCTTGTTTTCAGTAAGTGCCTGGACCCTCAAATCCTGGTGTTTGAAGGGGGTTAGGAAAGTTACATCACTACCCACAGCTGCTCTACCCATCAGCTGTGCGCTCACGTGTAGGTGAGAAGGCAGCACAGCACACAGGGTGTCTCATTTGGAAGACATCTCCATTATGGGCAGGCTCTAATGAAGCAGACCTACACCTTTATCCACTGCAAAAAGCTCTCCCTTGCTCCATGGAAAGGGAAAAGGCAGAGCAAAACAATGCTCCAAGGAAGCTCTAGAGACTTGAAACATCACAGAACAGATGAAGCAGCAGCAAGTATGTGATTCGAAAGACAATACAATAGCAATTATTATAAAGTATGTCCAGTGGTTGCTGTGGTGATTCCTAACATCACCACAACTCAGTCAATACTGTGTGCCAATTTCAGGAGCTCTCTGACACTTTCCTAAATGTATTATTATTATTCAGGATGTCCCTACATCATCACTTTTCTCCTACAAAATGATCAAGTGCAGCAGTTGCATCTTCCAGCAGAGGATCCAGCTCTTGGAGGTGTATTTAAAACATCTTTAAATGTTTTAAATTTGAAACACCTGCAGCAGAGTTCAGGTGTCACATAACAAATCAGTGCATAAGCAGGTGAAGACCCACACGTCACAGATGCTCACTCTTCAGGCAGGGAATAAAGCTCTCCAATTCCTCTCCTTCTCCAGAGCACTGATTGCTTTTATCTTCTAAATACAAATGTAGATGTTAAAACTTTCCTCTGTGTCATTTTAGTGAATTGATTGTCTAATTTAAACCTTTTCTCTGAATTATATACAGTGAGTTATGGCAGCTGAATGCAATTAAAAACAGGTTTCTACAGCTAGATTGGAGTCAGCCTTCTTCCCAAGCATATATTTTGTGCAGCTTCATATGGTACTTTAGAGCATATGTCACATGGTGCATCAGTGGATGCACATGATCTCACTCCACACTAGTTCTGTCTTCTTTTCCTCAGCTCCTTGGATCTTTCCACCTCCAACACAGTGAAATCTTATGCTCTATTCAAGGATAAGTGAACTGAAAGTCATTGGAACAAAAACCCCTCTGGCAGTGCCAAGAAGCAACCCTGAGCCTTGAGGCTATTCTGGGAAACTCTTTGCTTTCCAGTTTTCTGAATAGGTGAGTCAAAGATGTGGAATATGCTGAGGCCAAATGCACTGCACTCCCACAGATACTGGCACTGCCTTTGCCCCTGATCCTTTCAGCTTCAATGCTGGTCGAGCTGCCTCCTCGACCAAAGACAAAGGCAATTTATTAATTCCTAGTTAAGGTATAACCATTGCATGAACTGCAGGGAAAATTACAGCATCTGTCAGTGAGATGTGAGCTGGTGTGGGAGCACAGGAATGAGTGACCACTTTGCATCAGCAAAGGTCTTGAGACACCCTTGAGCATAATTTTCTATAATTCAAGAAAAAATAGTGCTTTCTGAAATGCACCCAGTTCTGGGTCTAGCCTAAGCACCTTTATTCACTCATGCTTTCCATCTCTTTTCACTCTCCACACAATGGTGAGAAGGAAAAACCCTCTTTAGGTGATGTTGCAGCAGTTGCAACTGCACCTGTTTGTGCAGTGATGGCATGAACAGGCTGCCACAGTTATTACCAGGAATGAGTGTGAGTGGGAGACCAGTCCCAGGCTATTGTGGCACTATAAAAACTCAACCCCAGGACAGTTCCATGCACATTCACAGTGTTGAGGCTGGAGCTGTGTTGTTACAACAGCTGCTTCGATTGCAGCTCCTTGAGGTATTGTTCTTGGGTGCAGCATGGATATATAATTTGTTTGGAAAGGCTGTAGCAGAGTCAGAGTGTGATCCAGGAGACCTTAGAAAATGTTCTTTGGTTCAAGCATGTTCTTGTCCTCTGCTTGAATGCATTTGGCACAATGTGATCCTGGTTTGGAAGCAGGAAAACAAATTCCCTAGGATTGTAGGGTTTTGCATGATTTCACTGCAAAGAGCAGGGGTGGAAGAGTTGACTTTAGCAGTGTGTTTGCTGCCTGAGTTGGGTTTTGCTGCTGTAATGGGTGATGGTGGTGCAGCAGAGACAAAGACATGGCTCCCACGTGCTTCCCCCGGCACCTGTAGCTCTCTGTCATGTCTGGTACCCAGAGCACCTGTGGGTGCAAGGCACACCCCAGGGAGGAGCAGCTGGTTTCCCACAGTCTTCTGTGAGCAGTCAGCTCCACTGGCTTCAGAGATATGTCACCTTTCAACACCAGCACAGATTTTTGCCTTCCTGATTTAGCAAAACACCTGTGGGTTTTTCTAAAAGAAAAATGGCAGGACTGGGACAAGATACCAACTATACAGTGAGTTAAAATGGAATTAAGGTTCTCACCTCTTTCTTGTTTCGGGAAATTGCATTTGGATCTATCGACCCCAGTGATAGGTTTGGGAGCACAAAGTTGAGCACTTTTGCTGCAAAAACCTGTGGGAGAGGAAACGAAGTGGTCAGAGAGCCAGTTAGAGGAAGAGAGGGAGCACAGAGGCCCAAATCCTGAGCTGATGGAAATCAGCACAGGAGTTAAACAGTTGAGAATTGTCAGCTATCTCTGGAGAAAGATCTGTCCTATATTTGAAACATTTCTCCTAACGAGGAAAGTGTTTAAACTGCTCCTGGGAGCAGGGAGTGGGTGTGCTAGACTGAAATGCCGTCAGCTGTCCGTCCACATGTAGCAGCACAACTTCATTGTACTGTGGCTTTTCCTAATTCTTAAGTTAATTTCTGAAAGGGCTCAGTTAAGTACTTTGATAGAAAAAGGTAATTTCCAGCTCTTAGAGGGCTGGGTTTTGGTATTTTATTGCCCTTTCCTTGCTGCCACAGCTCTGATCTCAGGCTCAGTGCATAAGGGATGTTGGGTGCCATCTGCAGCAGTTGCCTAGGCTGCACTCGTTTTGATAAGCCTATTCTCCAGGGAACCTGTAAATAAACAACAGCCAAGTGTGCATGCATTGGCTAAGGGAATCCATTGCTCACACGTCTCCTGGGAGCCACACACAAAAGCATTGAGCAGCCCAGGCTGGAAACTGCTGGTAGAAGAAAGGGTAACATCTTTCATTTCAATAGCACTACAAGCACATTGATATCAGAGTTCTGCTCTGATCTTTGATAGCTGCCTTTAATTAAGTGATCGCTGCTTAAGTCAGAAAATACACAGTCAGTGTTCACTGGTCTGGTTTATGGCCCTGTGGTGTTCACAGCTGACACTTGGAGGTAGGCTGCCCCCTATGCCCTCTGTTTCTGCAGACACCTAATCATTTCTGAAGCACTCCCCGGCACTTCAGATCACAGATGACACATGACAGATTAATTATGATATTAGAGGAGTAACACAAGGTTGAAGTCAAAGTCATTGAGGAGTGAAAAGCAGTAAAGACTCACAGCAGGTTTGGGAACACGTGTGTATCTTGGGGTGGACAGGAGTAGGAACCATTGTCACTGCCTGCCAGTATCCTGAGCCCCTCACTGGCTATGACATTGTGTTAGTAAAGTTAGTTTTTACTACACAACAACGCAGGTGTGAGTTTATGATGATCCAAGAAGGAATGGGGTTTTCCTCATCTCATGTTAACTCCAGGCAATGGTGATTTAAGCTATGCACCTCCATGTAACCTAGGCAGGATTATGGACTCTGAACTCTCTGCCAAACTGAACCGAATAAAGGAATAAAGCAACAACAAAAATTAATATAGTAATCTCTTCCACTTTGATTACATCTTAGGAAAAGTCCTTTGCAGTGTTACTGGATGCAGATTCAGGCTGAAAGACAGTGAACAAAGTGATGCCCAGTCTGGTTAGAAAGCAATAGATCAGCAAGAGGCGAAATGGAAAACACAAAAGGTAAAGAGAGAAATTGTGTAGTGAATCCTTAAACAATAGGCTGAGGGTCAGTACAGGATTAAACACCAGGGAATATTTCCTAAGGGGTTGTCCTGCCCACCTGATTTCAAAGCATTCAGTGGCAGAAATGTAATAGGGGATGCTCTTTCACCCCTGCTCTGCCCTTTGCCAGCATATGTGACTCCTGTCTCTGCAGCCTTTGAAACTGCAAAGATTCAGAGCTGAATTTTGTCCAGGTCAGTTGAGAAGAAAAAGGGGAAGGCAACAAGATCCCTCTCACTCTACTGGATTTGCAACTGGATGCTTCCCTCAGGACACAGGATTTATAGGGCACTGGTGAAATTGTTTCTACAAAGAGCAGCATTTGATCCTCCTGCACAGAGCCTGCAAACATGCTGTGCCTCTGCTGCTGCCAGGGCTGGCTCAGCAGCCAGGGAAGGTATTTCTAAGAGGGTCTGAAGGACCCTGTGTGTCATCTAGCTCCCTGTTATTGTTGTCTTGAGCCCTCATTTGTTCAGGCCAAGGTAAATTCTTGCTCAGCTGGAAACTTCCCCAGCAAAGGGATGAATGCAATGGTCCTTGGGAAATGGCCCAGGGCTGAGAAGTCGTACCAGTTCCAAGGGAAAACTAAGCCTTTGTTCCTTAGAAGCACAACCACCATGAAATGTTTTTTGACTCTCAGAGGAAAAAAACCACACAGCTTTATGGGAAAATGTGGCTTATGCAGGAATACTCTGCTTGTTTTCAATCCTTCCTCTTGCAAATACCTTTTCAACTCCTGAAATTATTTCAACTGAGTGTGACAGAACAGAGCTATTTCAGGAATAATTAATTTTTTATCAGTTTTGAGATGCAACAAAAGATTTGAAAGAGAAAGAAACTGACTGTGCTCTTGTAATACTGCATGTGAGAGACTTTCTAGGAATGAGACCATCTAAAAACCTCCAAAATACGTCAGTTAGAGAATAGGATTTCCTACCTAAGTGATGCATCATTTTATTTATTTCTTACAGGGAAATAAAGCAACATCTGGTACAGTTCTGCAACAAACCAGACTACAGTAATGCTAGTTCCCACAGAACTGCTGAGTCCTTGTTTCAGAAAGGGTTTAGCATCTAGCAAAATTCTAGCAATCTTTCCTATTTTCCTTGATTAGAAAGAAAAGGCTAACAGTCTCTCTCTCATATTCAGACTGTTTATTATTTCTTCTTCATTATTATTCTTTTTTGCTTTCCCAGGTAAGAAAAATCAGGGGCACTGGTGTTCACAGGGCACTTATGCCAGATGTAGCCTCACCCATGAAGAATCAGTAACCAGCCTCCTAAAACCAGACTTTGGTACTCTGGCTCCTATTTAAATAAGTTTACTTGGGCTGGATGACTTCAGTATTCACTTCTACTCTTAAAATTAGGTAGGACTATGGGAAAGCACTTAGAAGGAAAATATTGACTGGCATCCAGGTGGTGAAGACCTCAGCAGGGTCTTGCATCTTAAGGCTAGAGGTCTTAATGCATTTTTTTCAGTGGGAAAGCACCCTTTGGTGCTTGCAATGATTTGTGAGGTCCCTAGATGGCTTTGGCTACAGCAGAAAGTGGGACAGGATTATACTGAGAGCTGAGGCAATCTGTCTCCTTCCTCACAGAAGGAAAAAAAAAAAAAAAAAAAAAAAAAAAAAAGAAAGGAGAAATAGCTTAGAAGTAAATTAAAACAAGAAGCTAGTCCTAGGAGAAGTGTCTAAGGAGAGAAGATAAAAGAAGTGGGAATGAAAGGCTCTGTTCTTCATACTGGTTTAGCTGCTCCTTCCCTTTCCTTCCAGCTTGTTTTAGGATTGTTGTTTATTCTTTTTAGAATGCAAAAAGGAGGAGAGAAGTAAATGGGAGGGGGAATAAAGCCTTAATGCAAATCAAAAGAGGTGGTCTGGACAAGAACCAGTTATGGTACCAAGCCAAATGGGATGCAGGTGGGGCAGTAACACTTTAGCTGGAAGCCTCTTTTGAGGCTCATAAAGGATTTCTGAGGCTGATGAGCTCTAGTTCTGTTCAGAAATTGGTCATCCCCCAAATGCCAAAAATAACCCTGGCCTGACTTAGCCAGCAGCCTGTGTTGCAACTATACCAGAGTCTGCATGAGTCAGGAAGAAAGCTGTGGGAGAGGAAGGGAAAGGACAGCATTGTGTGGGCTGCCACGGGCTGAGGTGAAGAAAGCACAGTCTGCTACCACCGGTACCCAACTCTTGCTTAAATAGGTTTTTCTGGACAGGTTCAGGATTCGCTTCCCCTCTGAAAAGTAGGTGGAGCTGTGGGGGAGGCACTTAGAAGAAAAGTATTGACTGGCATCTGTGTGGCACAGGTTTTGCAGGGTTTTGCATTTCAAGGCCAGAGCTCTGAACACTTTTCCTTCTGCAGAAGAGCAAGGTGACCATTGCAACGCGGGTTTGCTCTTACCTTGATGGGAGTAGCGACTTCTGGGCTGGCTACCACTAAAGGAGAGATTAACAGCATGCCTGAAAACTCACTGGGTCGCTCACTAGCTGTCAGAATGGAGATGGCTCCCCCCTGCAATGCAAAATAACAGCCCACAGCTTAATACAGGTGCCAACATCTTGTTTGTATAGTAATCCTGTTACTGGAAGAGGTTTAGTCCAAGCAAGCAATTACTTCTGCCCCACTGAGAGTGAAGTGTGGTCAGCAAGGAAGGCTGGAGGAGTAGAAGCACTGGAAGTGTCTGGTTTTTGTGGGGGAGAAGAGATCTGGTTTCTGTTCTCATGCTGTAAACCCTCATGTCACACTGAACTCAACTCTCCATGCAATGTCCATCAGCTCCCTGGGATGCCTTGGGTCCTCCTTACTTTAAAGGACTGAGAAGAAGAAAATGTCTGAAGTGGTAGTTCAGGTGGGACTCGAAAAATTAGTTGAGGTTTATCAGCCTGACAGACTGGTGCGGCATGGAGAAGATGCCGTGAAGCCGGGCTCGCTCCGTGCTGTGCCACTGGTAACCTGGGCAACAGCAACGCTGCCACAGGCACGTGAAAATCTTCACTAATTAATGGGAATTAAATATTCTCCTCCCCAGTGTCCCCAGCCCCTCCAGCCCCACTGTGCTGTGTCCAGGGCTGGCAGCAAACACCCAGCCCCTGGTCTGGAGCTAAATGAGAGCCAGGCTGAGCTGTCCCGCACGAGGACAGGCTGGTGGCGAGGGGCGCAGATGGAAGGGATCCGGGGGCTTGCTGGGGAAACTTTGCAGAGGATTAGTTGCCAAGGGAAATATTTGGTGAACTTCTACACTTCTGGAGAACCAGGGGCTTGTTAAATGGAGCAGCAGCGAGAAGGATTTCAGAGACCTCGCTGGGAAATTGCTCCTTGTTACACAGTGGCTTTGGAGCACGGGAGTCCTTCAGAGCACACCATGCCTTCTTATGCCAGAACACTCATTTATCTGAGCATGGACTGAATCCCAAAGTACTTATTCATTTTCCTCTCCTCGGGGAAGGCAGGGAGGGCAGATCAATGACATCAGTGGGAATACTGTTAGCTTGAATAAAGGGATTTGGCCCGTGCTGTCAGAATCAGGCTTCAGATCTGTTCACCAAATCAGTGCCTTTGTTTTTGCAGCCTTAATCCCTGGTACATTTTCCTGTTAGGTTGTTTAACAGAATAAGGCTACAGGGTATTTTCATGCTTCATCCCCATGCTGCTTACAAAGCCTTGGAGGGCTTAACCTCCTGGTTACTGGTTAAAATGAAAGGGGAAACTCGATGCTGCAGGGAGCTGGTGAGATTTACCACAGAGCCACAGGAATGAATGGTCACGTTAAAAAACAGGCTTCTCATGGCAAGTGGCTAATTAGGGCCACGGTGGGGATAGAAAAGTTAAGGACTGTCTTTACTCAAGGCAAATCTCAGGGCTGTAGCATGCTGGCAAATCAATCAGCGAATGAAGTGGAAGGGAAGGTTCTTTGTAGGTTTGTTTTGCTGCTGTGGAATGAGTTATTTCCTGCCATCCCCATGAGTATCACCAGACTATGACACATGCCCTGTGCTGCTGGGAGGGGTAGGGGATGGTGCTTACCATGGAATGCCCCAGGATGAGAACAGGCAGTTTGGGGTGCTCTTTCTTCATGAGATCAATGTGCTGCAAGCTGTCCCTGATGAAGACGTGGAAATCTGAGACAACCATCCGATCGCCCTCGCTCTGCCCATGGCCAACTGCAGGGAAAGCAGAGCACACAGCTAAGTCATTTGAAGCAGTGGTTGCAGTCAAGAAAGGGCCTGGCAGAAATAAGACTGTTGGACTGTTTCTGTCCTAACTTGACCTTCTCCTGCAGGCATCTCTCAACAGAAAAACTGCTGCAGAAATGCAAAGGAAACTGCAGAGTTTTCAAGTGCCATACTGTCCATGACCTGACTTTTTAAATAAACATAGAATCATAGAATGTTAAGGGATTGCAAGGGGCCTCTAAATTTGGACTTCTATTCCCCCATGTTTCTATCTGCTCTTCAAAATTAAGAGTACCAATTTACTTCTTGCCACCTCCAACATCAGGGTGAGGAAGGGCTGTCTTGCCTTGCTGATGGGTCAGTGCATCCTGGGAAATGGGGATTTGCCTCAGGGATCATATGCTTTGGGTCTGGTGGCTCACTGTGCAGCCATAACTGCTGTGTAGCATCTTGGCCAGAAACAGAAAGATTCTGAAGAGCAGACAGAGTTGCTATAAACTTAATAGACCACGGACACTGCCTTTTCCAGGGTCTGAATGTGCATAAACTTCACAGTCCTGATTTTTCTCATGATACCCTGCAGTGCTGGGTGGGCTGGAAACCTCCTCTGTGTGAGGTAAGGGGTCAAGTGGTGGAGGTTGCAACAGCCTGCAGTGGGCAAGCATCCAATGGCAACCTCCTCTTGAACAAGTGTTAATGCAAATTGTACCACACCTGGACACTGCTTCCTCACTCTGTGTCTGGGAATTATCTTGCCTGATGGAAGGGAAAGGGAAGATTAAAATGGGAGATGGTGAGTTGCCATGGGAACAGTGGCATCCCTGGCAGAGGTGGAGCCAGCATCACCACCGACACAGCCCCAGGCAATTTTGAGCTTGCAAAGGCTTGAAATTAATGCCACCTTGGGGAAGCAGTTTGCATGCTTACCTGACCACATATGCATGCTATTGTCTATCACAAATAGGATTTGTCCTTAGAAACAGCCCTTTGCTTGTTTCTGTTCCATGCAGGTTGTTAAGCAAAACTGTGAAGGAGAAAACACATCCCACCCGTATGGGTTAGGGCATAGAGGGTCTTAAACATCTCCCTTCTGCTGGGTGTCTCCTTAGGCCTTCTCCAGAGGGCACTGAGGCCCATTTACAGACACAAAGGGACAATAACTTGTTAAAGGAGGTGAGGCTGATAATTGTTCACATGCTGGATGGCTCCCCTTGCAGTGATCAGCAAAGAAAAGCACCCCTGACACAGCCACAAAGGTAGTCAGTCACATCTGCTGGCAGTGGTCACACCAGTGGGAATCAGTAGGTCTCAACTTTCTTGTAAGCCACCCAAAAAAATTACCTTGCAAATTAGACAGAATTTCTAATAAAAAGCTGGATTAAATTCACTCCATCTAGGAAAAACCAAACCCCAAACTAATTTTTTTGTCAGGTGGTCTCCATGGCTGGGTCTTTTGGCAGTGAAGGCTGCAATCAGCCACACTGGCTGCTGAAAAACCCCATGCACATCACGCTGATAAATTATAAATAGCATTTTACCAGTTCTGCTTTCCAAATCCTGCCAAAATATGATGCAGCAAGCATCCTCCATGGATCAGTGACCAGAAACAAATAAAAGAGCAAATTAAAATACAGGTCATGATCATCTCCAGAAGTGAAACCATGTGTGTGGCTAGAGGAACTATTGACTTTAAATTGGGTTTTCTTACAGATGGAAAGTGAGCTTATTACAACTTCTATACACATTCAGTCCACTCACTTTATGGTCCTCTATTCAGCTCCAAATGTAGCAGCTTAACATGAGTTGAACAGCCCAGAGAGAGGAACATTTTCCCTAACAGAGCTCTGCACTTCAGGTTTTTTTCTCTCCAGTGCTGCCTGACTTGCTTCTGGTCTCTCCTTCTCTCCAGTGCTCAGACAGCTGTGCAAGCAGAGACAGCAAACCCCCGTGGCCCAGGTCTGCAAATGGGCCATGACTCCTTGCCCTGGAACTGTGAGTCTTTGGTCTATTTTTGGATGAGACAGAAGGAGGTCTGGAAAGCCTCCTTGGCTCTCAGTGTGAAGTATTTCCCCTGCTCCTACCACATAACAGTGACTCTGCTTGTTACAGTCAAAGCAATGATTGGGGAATCCAAGAAATACCTGTGCAATGCTGTGACAAGCTCCTCTTTGAATTTTTCCAGGGTTTTTTATTAATAACTTAATGAACCCCTGTTTTAACCCCAGTTTTAAATACTAAACTTCTGTTCCCCACTCAGATGGCACAGAGCCTGAGCAGCAGTTTCTCTGCACACGTGGGACAGGAAAGCCATGCAAGCCTTTGCTTTGATATTATCCCTGCTCCTTGCACAAGGTTAGCCAGGGGGCATTGCTAGGTCATAGTCTTTTATTTTACTATTTTCCATTTTTCCCCTCCAAGAAACCAAACTTGTTCCCCCGGTGAATGAGTATATTGCAAATTTCAATTCCCCAGCTGACAAAGCTTCAGGGTGAGGAACTAAGACCCCTTCTATTAGATGAGAGATATTTGCACAACCAAACATCAATACAGTCAAGAATATTGACATGTTTTTCTCTGCTCTTTTGCCTTTAGAGCTATTAAGAATGAAAAGTCAGGTTCATCCTTGATGTAAAGCTATTAGCTTTGAGTTTTGCTGGGAATGAATCTGCTGTAGTGATTCCACAGTGCCAGTGGCAAAACAGTGGGGGCAAGAGGAGGGGAACTCTCGGGGTCTGTGTGTCAAGGTGACCCCAAGAGTGTAAAAGTCCTTGTTTCCCACCCCACACAGCAAAAGAAGGAGTCTGGATGTGTAGAGCTGGCTTCTCAAGGTTGTTTATTTTTCCTTATCTAGAACATTCTTTTTCTGACCTCCTGAGCTCTGTCTAAGCAGGCCAGCCATGGCATTCTGTCTGCCCTCAGGGTGGCATTTACATTTTATACCAAAATCTATGTGTACTATGTTACAATAATGTGCCAACATCTATCATTTATGTTGGACAGTGTGACTCTACCTTCAACCAATAGAAAAGTGTCACCATCACACCAAGACATGGACAACAAGGAGAAGAAGAAGAAGGTCAAGACACACCCAAATCCCTCCATCTTGTCCCCCTGAACCCCATTCTAAAAAGCCTCAAAATTCTACTTTTTCACCCTGTTTTAATTCAACTACCACACTACTCAAACCCTTGTGGCTTGTAATTCCTCATACAAAGTTGGCAGTTTTTTCCATGGGCTAAAATCGAAGCCACAGATGTTTTTGACTTCATGCCAGGGTCTCCAAGCCCCCTGCCAGGGTCTCGAGACAGCCAGGGCAGCCAGAGGGATGTCCTGGACTCCCACAGGGAACCACCTTCCCCTAGCCACTGGAACTAACCAGAGACTGCTCCAACCCAAGTGACACAATGCCAAGGGTGACAACAGAGGAGTGTCCAAGAATCACAGCTCCATGAGCTCCTCATCACAGCATCCCCACAAGGACCCCTGGTTTCAGCAGGGCACTGTGAGGTGCAGTGCACAGAGCTGTGACTGCTGGTGCACATCCCCACAGCACAACCAGCATCCAAAAGCTTTTAAACTGCTTCCCATCTGTCTTCACACCCAGCTTGTGTGGTTCACTGCTGGTACTGTGTGCAGTGGCTCAGTGATCATTTCAGGTTGTGTGTACTGACCTAATTGCAGGCACCTTTCCATGAGGCTTTAAAAGTGAGAATCCAAAACACATATTTTCAAGTTGCAAATCTAGAATTAGGAGGTTTAAGCATCCATTTCCAACCAAACACAGCACTGCAAAATAACATACTTCACTCAAACAGAATCTGAATAAAGGCTTGATCATCTGGCCCAGTATGTCACAGTTATTAAATTCTTCCCTCTATTTTCAGCATGAGCATGCTCAGACTGTGACTCTGTCCCTGGAGTCAAGAACAACAAACAACTCAGTCCTGTCAGAGAGCATGACTTCAGAGTGTGATTCCACCTATGATTATAGATCCTCCAAAGCTACACATCTCTCTGGATAAAATAAATAAAAATAAATAAAACTGACTGCCTGCACAGGAAGACAAAGCAGAGAATTCAGTGATGGAGTATTTGAGGGTGTGACGTCTCTGGGGAGTTTGTTATAACCAGTAAGTATGACTCTGCCTGCATAACAGATCCTGTGACCCTGGAAATACATACAAGTCCCTTCATTCCTCAAATCCCATATTCTCTCATGCTGTGGGGCTTGCTTTTGAAAACCACTCCAAAGCAGCCAGGCTCTTCAGCTGACATTGGCTCATATACCTCAAAAAAAAAAGGTTACGTCCTGTTCAGATTGGAGATATCCTGAAAAACATGTAAATAAAAAGCAATCCAACTTGACACTCCTTTCCCTTCATTCAGAGCCAAATGGGAGCTGCCTGAAGAAATAAGCAGCCCAGTTCTGGGTTTGCTGGGCAGACTCAGCCTGGTGAGGGGGCCTGGGCTGGATCTCCACCAGCACGATGCTTTTTTGCTGGGGCTGTGGGGCCGCACCAGCAGTCCTTAAATGCAGGAAAGAAGACCAGCAGAATATCAGCAGAGAGGAGAGCCTGGCAGTAGCTGTCCCTGCACACTGTGGGTGCCTCAGCACGCAGCCCTCGGAGGCACCGCGGGGATGGGTGAGGGTGGCAGCACACCCTGTCCACCCTCAGATGCCTGCACTGGTTTTGTTCTAAACACGAACTTATACAGAAGCCACACACCATACATATTTGTTTCTCTTTCCAGGTACTGAACCCTCCTGACAAAAGTGGAGCCTGACCCTGGATGCTCAGGTGAGGACTGAATTGCCCCTCTGACCTTCAGCAGGAACATTTTGCTATGGAAAATGAGGTGATGGGAATGTAGGTCAAATGCTGAGTTCAGCCATGGTGCTGTAAATTCACCAATTTCAGTGCTGTTCCTTAAAGCTTACAGTCATGGGAAAGCAGAAATGATGCACCATGTTGTTTTTTCAGCCTTTG